TCCCCTTTTGCTCACTAATAGCTCTTTAGGTCACTAATAGCTCTTGAGGCTATGGTCCTCAAAGTGTGGTTCAGGTATCTAGACTCTAGCGGGTACCCAAGACGGCTTCCAACAGTGTCAAGATTATTTCTATAAGTTTCCCAAGGTGTCATAGGTGCTTTTCATGCACATTCCCACCCATGCACAGAAACAGGCCCCAGCGACAACATGAAGGGCAATAGCCCCCAGACTAATTGGGAAAGCAGATGTGAGACTCCAGCTGCTTTCCATTAAGACAAACATTAAAGAATTTATGGAAATGCAGAACAGTTTCAGTTTTCTTCTTAACTTTGTTTTATTTTGAAAAACAGTTTTTTTTTTAAATAAAGCACACTTAATGGAAGTATTATGTTTACTTTAAAATGATTTAAAGATTTGAAATCTTCTCTGTAATAGCATCTAGGAGGATAAATATCAACAAATATAACTCAACCAAACAAAAGGAATTGAGAGGCTTCATTTTAGGGGTTCAGGGAATCCCTTTAGCCTATATTCACTTCTTTATCACCAAGCCTTCAGTTTATTTCTGGGCCGATGGCTCTTAGCCTTTCCATTTGGGTGACTGTATTTTAAAACATGGGACAGAATTCTACGATCCAAACTACTGATGTGGGCCAATAGAAGGTCACCAGCTTATATATCACACTACCTCTTGGGGACAGAGGTAATGGCAAACCTGGATTGCAAAACCTCTGACTTCCTGTGTGCAACACTATAGGGTACTTCCCCCACCCCTACCCTGAACACCGAGTTCCCAACTGAGAGTGTAGCTCAGGTGGAGAGTGCCTTCCTAAGGCTCAATCCAGGATACCACAACAAAACGAACATACACCCCCACCCCCACACACCCAAATGGAGATAATGTCTGAGCTCCTTGGCTGCTGTGAAGCATAAAAGAGAAACCCTTGAGTAGGGTTTTAGGGAACGTTGGTTGAATGCTGTCCTAGTTAGGGTTATTATTGCTGTGATGAAACACCGTAACCCGAAACCAACTGGGGAGGAAGAATTTATTTGGCTTACTCTTCCACGTCATTGTTCATCATTGGAGGAAGTCAGGCAGGAACTCAAACCTGGAGACAGGAACTGATGCAGAGGCCATGGAGGGGTGCTGCTTACTGGCTTGCTCCTCATGGCTTGCTCAGCCTGCTTTCTTACAGAATGCAGGACCACCCCGCCCAGGGATGGCACCACCCACAATGGGCTGGGCCCTCCCCCATCAATCACTAATTAATAAATGCCTTACAGGCTTGCCTACAGTCCCATCTTATGAAGACGTTTTCTTAATTGAGATTCCTTTCTGTCAGATGACTTTAGCTTGTGTCAAGTTGACATAAAACTACCAGCACAGGTGCATCCCCCCCTTTCTTTCCCTTTTACACTCACAGGAGAAAAAAGACAAACCCCCGCTATCCCAATGTTTTGCCATTCTTTCTTGTTTATTTCATAATCTCAGAATAATAATCTCAGATAATATTTTTACTGTTCCCTTCCCCCAGCCCCTGAATGGTTCAAGATTCTGATATCTATATGAAAGTTCACTTTGTGCCATCAGATTTCATCTTTATGGGTTAGAAGGTCAGGGCTCTTATTTCTGGATGAATATTCATTCTGCTATTGCAAAATCTGCGTGGAGGATGTAACTGTGAAATCTGCTTGTCCACGAAAGTGGTGTAAGCCTCCTGTCGTTAATCCCTTTCTACACCTCCCCCTCAATGGGCCTTTGAAGTTCAAGTAGGTATTGAGGGTGGGGTGGGGATTGTGTCAGCCCCGTTCTTTGAGTGCTCTGTACACAGTGGGAAGTTTGTGTAAGGTCAGACACTCTCAGGGTAGGAGTCCAGGAAACAACTTTTCCCCTGAAGAAAATAGTGTGAAACTTCCTATTTACTGAGATACTCCTCAGGGCAGGTTTTTGTCCTTGGACCTCAGCAATAAGGAGCAGCAAGGACTTAGCCCACTGCCCCCTACTGAGGAATGGTTCTTTCTCTTTCAAAGACTTGTTTCCAAGGCATATTTCCTATACTAGAGTCCTCCAGACCCTGGGAACTCCCTAACTTGCTAAAGTCTATTCCTTCTCCGTGGGGGGCCAGCTCCGACATTTACTTACCCCAGGGACTCTTGAGGGGTGAGGAATAAGAGATTTAGTTAGAAATATAGAGGAGAGAGACAGTTAGGAACACAGGATAGCCTCAGGAGGGCCTGGGTCAAAACCCACCAGCCCCTTCTGTCTAGTCTAAAGGGCTTTTAAAGGAATGCCAAGGGGTGGGGCAAAAGACCTCCCCCCAGCACAACCAAGTGCAGACCATCCCAAACACCTGGTGACCATGCACATGGTCAAGCCATCCCCTAATGCAGCCCTGTTGTGTAAAGCAAGCTCAGACCTCGCTAGGAGACCTCTGTGGGCTCCCACACTTCTCTGTCATGCTGTTGTGATGATAGCATGCTGTCTTTTCTGAGAACAGGATTTCAGGTGACTTAAGGCTTGTGTGATCTGAATGTGGTTTTGCTCTGCAAGGATTCATGTATAAGAAGTTTAGTTCCCAGTGTGGTGATATTAAGTAGAGGTAGGACCTCTGGCATCTCTTAAGGTTATCCCTTGCACATTCTCTGCCTTCCTATTTATCTTTTGGTTACATGTCCTGACAAAAGTAACTTAAGGAAGGCTTATTTTGGGTACCAGTTTCAGGTTTCAAGCATCACTGTGGAGGAGTCAAAGCAACAGGAGCTGGAGAAGGCTGGCCCTATCACACCCACCATTAAGAAGTAGAGTGACAGATATCTGTGCTCAGCTTACTTTCTCCTTTTTATACTGTTCAGAATCTCAGCCCAGGGAATGATGACACCCACAGTGGGCTGGCTTTTGCACTCAATTTACTTCATTAAAATAATCCTCCAGAAGCATTCCCAGGGGCTCATCTAGCAGGGGATTCTGGATCCAGTCAAGTTGATATCTAAAACTATCACAACATGTGTGGTAGTTTAGATGATATTGGCATCATATATAGGTTCATACTATTTGCATGCTTAGTCCGAAGTTGTAAACCATTTGAGAAGTATTAGAAAGACTAGGAGGCGTGGCCTTGTTGGAGGAAGTGTGTTGCCCGGGGTGGCCTTTAAGGTTTCCCAGGCCCAGTCTCTCCCACTCTCTCTCTCCCCTTCCTCTCTTTCCCTCCTCTCTCTCACCTTTCTCTCCCTCCCCTCTCTCTCCCTCGCCTTCCTCTCTCTTCCTCTTCTCTCCTCTCTGTCTCTGTCTTTATCTCTGTCTCTCTGTCTCTGTCTCTGTCTCTGTCTCTCTCTGCTTGCCGATCAGGATGTAAAGCCCTTAGTTACGTCTCCAGCACCATGCCTGCCTGCTTGCTGCCATGCTCTCTGCCATGATGATAATAGACTATTTCTTTGACACTGTAAGCAAACCCCCAACTAAATGCTTCCTTTTATAAGCTGCTTTGGTCATGGTGTCTTTTCACAGCAATAGAACAGTAATTAAGAAACCATGTGATTTTGTTTTCCCACCCTTGTGATACCACCTACCATGTGATCTTTGCCAGAGCAAAAACTGGCATCATGCCCATGCCCTTGCACCTCCTGAACTCTCTCTCTCTCTCTCTCTCTCTCTCTCTCTCTCTCTCTCTCTCTCTCTC